ACTAAACAGCCTACAGTATTTTTACAGTTTTTATTTTACAGTTAAAATATATGTTTATCAAATAAAGTCTAATGTTACAACTAATCAGGGATCCCTTTAAAGCCTCACACTTTGTAACGTTTGACCCTAAACGGCTCCATCTTTTGATTTTATTTGTATTTTTCTCCACAGTTCACCAAGAGAAAGGAGAAGAGGCGAAGAAATGAGTGAAACAGCCGAGGAAGTGGCTGAACAGTAATGGGTTATGTAGAACGGGGCAGCCATGAATAAATATGATCAGAGGAGATGACTGCTGAGGCTCCACATATGCTTGACGAATCAGTGATGTGCCATAAATTCTTGCAGCGAGCTGCTGCCTCGTTGCATCCGTCCTGCATGTAGACGGACCCCCCCCCCCCTGCTGTGACCACACACAGACCGGCCCGTCCCATCTGTGAAGTGGACCTGTCACTGAACACASTTATAAAGCAGCCTCCTGTCCATTACCACTCCCTGAGTTGTCTGGTTCTTGTGTGTATGCGTGTGTGTGTGTCTCTGTGTGAATTTATGATTGTGATGCAGAGGCAGCATCGCACCCAGCGCAGTGTGACCGACTGGCTGTACACACCTCTGCCTCCTCAGTGTTGTGTTACGAGTGTGATGTGTGATCCGGGAGCCCGTCTGCCATGGTTCAGTGGAGGGGTCGATACTCGGCCAGGCGTGGAGACGTTGTGGAATAACAGGGATTAAAGAGATGCTCGGATTATTTTCGACGTAACGTTCTTTCAGACGTTTCTCAGTAGTTGGTATTTTATCAGCCGTGACATCACTTATATGAAACACGAAGACGAGGACAACAACTCTTAATCTAGGCTAGGGGGGTCCGCAACCTTTACAACTGAAACAGTTTTAAATAAAGATAATCTGGTCCTGCATGTTTTACTTGTTCCTCRAATCCAACACACCTGATTCAGTGACTGAATTACCTCTTCATGTTCTGCAGAAGCTCGTTAATCAACTGTTCATTCAAACTCGTGGAGGTGCATTTACCATTACTGTACATGTTGGCAACAAAGACATAAAAAGGACTGATAATGTAGAAATTATAACTAATAATAATAATAATAATAATAATAATAATAATGTATTGGCGTGTATATAATCTGACTAATGTACATAAAACTGTCAGAAATCTGTGTGAGTTATGGATGAACCAACAGAAGAGAAACAGGAAAACGTCTCATTTCACAAGACAATATTTTATAGTATTTACCTCGATGTGATCTGAGCAGAACTGAAGCTAATGAAACAGTTTAAAATTAAAATAAACTTATAAACCCGATGTAATCACTGTTAATTACTGAACTGGTTAGCAGATATTAGCTTCTATAGCAGCACTCTGCTGAATTATGCTACAATTTAACACTTACTATACGCTGGTATTGACTCTTATTTATGTAATATTTACACAGAGTAAAAATAATATATTTGATCTATTTTTAAGTTTCTATTAGACAAATCTGAGCTGTTGAGAAGATGGTTAGCTAATATCAGTAGTTTCATCCTATAACCAGGGAACATTTACATTTACTCGTAAATATTTGAAACGATATACAAAATTCAAGATTCGGTTCGAGACTTTAGTCTCACGGTTCAATAACTTTTTGATACAAAAAAGAGAAATGTCCATGTTCTTCTTAACTTGTAATTTATTGAAATTAATGATAAACATTTGTTTAACCTCAAAAGTCCAGTTTTTACATTAAATGTTGCTGAAACAGCAAGTTTCTCAGTGGATCTGTGCTCCACAATGCAGCCTAGGTGGAGTAGTCGAACACAGATCCACTGATCCTTCAACACAGAGCATCTTCAGAAGACAAGCTGATAAGTGTATTGAATGTTTCAAGTATTGTTGTACCCCTATTATTATTATTATTATTATTATTATTATTATTATTATTATTATTATTATTATTATTATTATTATTATTATTATTATTATTATTATTATTAAGAAATAATAAATATACATTATTATTAGTTAAAGTCATAATTTTTCAACCAAAATATAAATTACTGACCAAACTCAGGTCTACAGATCATTATTTATAAATTATATATTTCCTTGTATATATTTACATGATTGTTAAATGAAATTAACATTAATATATTAATTAATTGTAAAAATCTTACAAAACATTTGTGACACAGATCCAGTTGCTGTCAATCCAATATGAGGACTGTGAGCCGACGCCCTGTATGATCACCATTACTGCTCCTCCATGTTGTCACAGGTGTTGACAGGTGGGGCTCACTCTAGTGTTTTTTTAGCTCTATGTTCAAACCAGACGCATTGGAGCAGAGAAACCTCTGAAAGTGGTCCTGGAGGGCCGCTGTCCTGCATTTTCTGGAGGTTTTCCTGCTCCATGCACCTGATATGCTTGAATGGGTGATTATCAGACTTTCTGCACAATTTAAAAAGTTGATTCAATAATAACAACAACAACAACAACAACAACAACAACAACAACAACAACAACAACAACAATAATAATAATTAATAACTGAATCAGGTGGAGCAGAGAAACCTCTACACACTCCTGCTCCAATACTCGCAGGATGGATCGAGGACCAGGATTGGGCACACCTGGACCAAATTATATCTGAAGTTCTCGTGCACAGATGTGGACCTGTTGTGTCCTTCATCCACGTGTGCGCACAAACACAAACACACACACACACACACACACACTGCATTACATTCCTATGTGGTCCAACACTACATTCCTCATGGCCTGACCTACAGTGGCCAGGCCTTCGCAGAGACATACACTCATGCAAACACAAACACACACTCCAAATCAGGGTCTCATTAGCATCACACACTAGAGACTAATTAATGCACCCATCAACACTGCCCTAATTAGCTCTCCCACGTCATTACTGAGCAAACGAATTACCGCTAATTTACACACCCGCAAAACAAACACAGCACCGACTCTGCTGGGAGAGTCCTCCTCYCCTCGCCTCGCCTCGCCTCGCCTCGCAGACCCAATCAAAGCCTCGCCGACGTTCTGTGACCTCAGACTGCAGGCCCGGCTGACGCTGGGCCTCCTCTCCTTCACACACACCTGACCTCAGCATCCTGACTGCTCAGGGTTTGGGAAAACTAAAAAAAAAAAAAGTTAGAGCTGTCCCATCAGGTCCTGGTCTCTCATGTCTCTCCAGCAGAGGGGGTCAGAGCACAGCCTGACCATCAGTCACTGTGAGTGGCAGCTTCATCACTGCAGCTCCACTCTGGACCTTAAAACCTCCAGAATGTGCCAGAAACACTTCCCACCTCTGAGCTTCTCCTTCTTTCCTACYACTGTACGTGAAGCACAGAAATGTTACAACTCAGAAACTTTTCCCTGACTGTGAAAAAAAAAAATCACAAAATAATTGTATATCTGTCCACTCTCAGCAAAAACAGGGAACTTGACTTTAAACGTGATGTGGCGGSTGATGTGCATTCCTTTAAAGGGATCCCTGATTAGTTGTAACATTAGACTTTTTTTGATGAACATTTATTTTAACTGTAAAAGAACGAGTGTTAAAAATACTGTAGGCTGTTTAGTTTTTAAAATTTTTAAATATATTTTAACACAAACAGAGCCATTTTATTTCCACACAAAGCATTCTGGGTAAATGATGACG